TATATATATATATATATATATATATATATATGGTACGTTACAATACCCTGTACCTAATGGACCAAGTTAAGGCAAACATCGGCCATTGTGTAAACATTGCAGGCAAACGCGCCGCGTACAAACGACGGCGCTACGGCTGTTAGGTAAACGGATGGACAAGGTTACCACGTCAGCAGATTCGGCGATACATCGGCCATGATGGAATTGAGTACACGGTGACGCGAGAAAATAGCACGGGTCCGCGAAGCCCGATGCTTTGTTCTCTCGATGGTTATTCCCTCTCTTCTCCCTTTCGCCCTGTGCCTCTCCCTCCCTTCGGTGCTCTTTCGATCGCGCATCGGGAGACGTTACGTGGAGAGGAAGTAGGAAAAAGATCGGGCGAGTTGGCAGAGGCGAGAGCAGGGCAGAGGCGAAACGGAGGACAGAGTAGAGCCAACAGAGGCACAGGCAGGGCTGTTGTTTACACCCCCACCTCGACGGGTTAGAGGCAGCGAGATGCCACGGAGGGGCCTCCGAGACCTCGGTGGGCACCCACCACCACGCAATTTCCAACCCCACCAGCCTCTCAACCACTGTCCGCACCTCCAACCACCCCACCAAAGCCAGCTCGAGCCAAGCCGTGAGCCACGACGAGGGCCCCGCGACGATTTTAGTGTCTTGGGGTGGGTGCTCTGTGGCCACCGTTTCGCGGTTTCTCGTGCACGTTTCGCATTAGGAGTAAAGCGCGTAAAAGTTTCGTGGGGTGGTATCCGTCCGCAGATTCCTACAACTTGTATCCTGTAGTTTACCGTATACGGGGGACACACGTATATATAACAGGTGCACGCGAGTTATCCGGGTACAACGAGACGATCGTCATCCACGAGGAAAATGCGTGTCCTACTTACCCACGAGCAGCTGTGCTTCCCTTGTGCGCACTCCTTTCAGTGTACTGCTACTACTGTCGCTGCGTCGAAGCCTCGCGTAGTACAGAGACCGTCCGCCTGGCTGGCTCGCCTGCGTTGTTCTCAATCTTCACCGCGGCAGCAGCAACTTTCTCATTTCTACGTATATGTTTGCCGCCGTGCCACCGCCGCACTCTCGGCTAGCCACAGCTACTTGCTTGCGGGTGCACACGTCATACGACGAAGAGTCGTACGCCAAAATGTACGTGCACCGTCTCTTCGTCGAGATGATCGACGAGTCGTGACTCGTGACAAATTCGCGCACTACTGGGCAATTCTGCTACGGTAACAGCGAGCCGCGACGCGCACTCATTTCCGGGTTTACGTCGGTCGGGTTCGATCGAGTATGGCCCCCGGTCGGTAGGTAAGCGTGGGTCTTGGGCCGGCCAACGGGGAATGAATTCGACCTAACGGTACATAGCCACCCGACAGTGGCCACACGTTAACTCGAAGCGCCACGATGCCAGGCCACTCTCCTGAAAACCACGAGCTCTGTGTGAAAGTAGACACCCTCCTTCCTACGAGTCCCAGCTTTATCTTGAATGACCTCGTCTCACCGCCCTCGTTGAACGCATTCTTGTTTCCCTCGGTCAAGTAAATAAAAATACGTTTAACCGCGAAAACTTACGCTGCTATTAATATTCTATCGGAGAAATATCAACTATGGCGGCGGTTACGCGCGGAGTATATTGTGAGAGCAAGGGGAAAGCAGCGCGTGCGCGCTTCTAGATTAAACAAATCAACGGTTCTCTTATGGTGCCGTTCTATTTACAGGTATTGCAATGATCTTTACAGTTTTACAACAATCCCGAACTTTCCAAACTAAAATTTAAAACAGCGCAAAAAACACCTGTCCGTTGCTCTGTCTTACTCTCAGTTACTTCGTTTTCTCTGCCACTACAAAGCGACACTAACTCTGTGCGCACCTAGCGGAGACTGAAGTGAGGTTAGGTCGAGAATCGATATTACGATATACTTCGATGGTCGCCATATTTCCATGTTGCAGCGCGGGTTATACGAATCGCATGATACAACTTTCGTCCCTTGATCCTTCGTTGTGAATGGATAAATAAATAAATATATACTTGTAACACTATATAGGTACAATAAAAATAAGTAAAAAGCCTTGATGTTCCTTCCTTCTTTTTATAGACTTTTTTTTATTATAAATATGCTATTTCACATACTTTCACAGTCTCAAAATACTTTGCCATCTAATAAATGTCCATAACAAAAATACGATTGATCAACGACACATCACTTATATAGAAACAGCAATTTAATGTAATATTGTAGTAATCTATATTATAACAATAATAAAATACAGATCGTTCAAATTTTAAACCCATTAATTATAATTGCACAAATTTTAATTCTACATCTTTCTAATTGTAAATGAGTTGTCATTCGACAAAAAATTTTAAATATTCACTTTTGCTTTTGTATGTATAATTACGTCACATGCAATACTAAGTAACATTATGGTAATAAATAATCGATTGTTTGTTTAAAATTTATCAAACATCATACCTTTCAAGAATTTCGTTCATTCATCGATTAATAAAAATATATTGAAAAGGAATGAAAAAAACGATATGCAAGAAATGCTTAATGATTGGGAATTATAATTTGAAAATAGAAATATCAAAATGAATCAGATGTTCTCTGAACACGTTCCATATATAAAGAGAATAGCAACTTATTACTTTCATAATAAAATGGATTTTCAACTGCGTCCAAGTCAGGCTTGTATTCTGCTATGTAACTACTTTGGCTAGAACTACATCCATCGTACAATGGTGATCCTTGAGAAAGCTCCGAGTAATTTGGTGATGGCATGAAGTTTCTGTTACAGCAATCTGTATCCATATTTTCGGTAACATTTTCATGTATCCCTGATAATCCGTTAATGTGAAGATTATTTATTCTTTTACTCAATGGCATAAATTCGCTAGATTCCTCTTCTGCATCACGTCCTCTTTTTCTAGACATCACAAACAAGGATGAATTAGCATAATGAGATCCAACTATTTATGTACGTTAAATGAAAGAGTTGTGTCATTGCATATATACATGAATAGAGAAACTAACCTGTTAGACCGAGTCATTCTTGAATTAATCCAAACTTTTTGCGAAAGATTTTAATATAAATATATTCTTAACCACATATTACGATATTTCCTAACTTTTTTTTGCCAAAACAATTAATATTATATACTGTTACAGCTTACATATAAGTTATACACGTTTGTCAAGAAAACAAAACTTGATGGGTTGATTACACAAATCGACGGTGTACAGTACACAGCAATGTTCCCGTTACATTGTAGTTTAACCTCCAGCCGTTAGAGTGCACAAGTGACATGGTTTTAAGCAAACGTTTTAAATTCTAGACGGAAAAAAAAGTTCTAGATTATGGAAATACACGAACCAGATATTTAAGAAAATATTACACATTAAAGTAATTATAAATTTTGTTTGGATTGAGCAAAAACTCCTAATGTACAATGTGCTTATCTCTATGAAAAATGTTATATAAATTATTTATTCAAATTCTAGGTAGAAACAAAAAATTCTAGATTATAGATAAATTATTTATTTAAATTCTAGGTAGAAACAAAAAATTCTAGGTTGCGGAAATACATGAATCAGATATTTAAAAAAATGTTACACATTAAGGTAAGGTATAAATTTTGTTTAAACTTCCATTATAATGTACAATTCGCTTGTCTCTATGAAAAATATTATGTAAACTGTCTAACAGCAAGAAAGGAATCACTTGGTTTATATTTTAAACAACTTGCTAAGTTGTTATTCCTTTGTTTAGAATACATTAATCATGAGAAACTATATTGAAGAATGAATGATAAAGAAAGAAACTTATAGTGAAAGATTGAGGTATTTTTCTTTTTTCTTTTTTTTTTCTTGAATGAATTAGAGTGTCTCATATTCATAATATACATACGTATTTGTAATTCATTTCTACATTTCTACAGTAAATTTAATAATTTTTTAGTATATTACGTCTATTACTTACAATTTATAATTGCTCTTGTTAGTATGTAGTGACTCACGATATAATCATCGATCATTCAGTTACCGACCGGAAGCAGAGCATGTATCAATGCACATGAGAAAACAACGTAAGATATTCTTATCAAAAATAACTATATGATAGTAACACATTCACTGTATAAAATCATTTGTCCAAAATTTTTACTAGTTACTTTTGTACACGTTCTTGCAACGAATCGACTACAATTAATTGCTAGCAAATTTTGCAACAAAATTGCAACAAAACGCTAATTTTCACACATATCTTTAGCTAACTACTGAAACCAAACATATCCTAGATTCTTAGAATAGACACTCATTGTCAGTGAATATTTCAAACATAAACTATCTTTCTTCGTGACAAAGCTAAATTTAAACGTATCGATACATGCCTACATATATACAAACGTACTATTTATTTTAACAGTTTAACCTCTTGAATTGTTAATTTGTTTACCTAATACGACAACGTGAGTCAGTCAACATCTTGCAGTAGATAATGATTTTTTTACTCATCGTGCAAGATCTTTTATAATCATTTTTTCAATCATTCTTGTTACTAAAACATTCGGATTTAAACTTATATTTAAATTACTTTAAATATTTAAATCAAATATTTGAAAAAGTGTTTGTTATGATATTTTGATGGTATCCAACAAAAAAGAAAATTCAGACTTATACAAGAAAATTGAACTCAATTTTAAAATTGAATTATACAAGAAAATGAATTTGTTGGTTTTGCATTGAACTTTTGAGAGAGATTTCATATCTAATATTGAATTTTTCAAATATTTTTTTTTTTTATAATCCATCGATGCAAGACATTTATTGGAACAATATCTTATTTCAAAACTCTGATACGTAATCATATATGTGCAATAAGATATTGATGACACGGCTTTGCAATATCCAAAAAATAAAACAAAACCAGAAGTACCATTTACGTATCGTTCACCATATTCAGATATAATAATAACAGATTATATTTTGTTAGTTGCAGCTCATCGAATAAATTTTGCCCTACACTTTTCTCTAATATAATATAAAATCGAGGACAGATTGATTTATAGGAAAATATTGTTTCGTAGGAAATGCCTTTGTAAAACGCAGTGTTCGTGAAACATCGGGGAAGAGTCAAGTATATACGTGTACTCGTGATCGTACGTTTAGAAACTTCTACGATCGCATTGAGATCCGTTTATAGTAAAAGATTTCAAGCGCCATGCAAACCATCCGTATTTGGCGTTTTAACACACATGCTCCGCTTGGTAAGTACGTGGGTGTGAACGCACCCTCGTTACTTATTATTCCAAACGAATCGCTCCAATTACACCGTGATACGCATGTTGATGAGTATAATTAATTTCAGAAGATCTGCCGAGAAAGAGAGTGGCGGATGACTCGCCGTTATATATCGGTAAGTCGGAAATAGATCTGTCGTCTGGGTAACGTTTATCTCATAGGATACCGGCATCCGTAGGATAACGAAGAATTTTACCACAGGAAAGGGAAACGTCTTCTCGCTGACGTCCTGTCATTTTGTCTATCTTCTTGTTATTTCAATTTTGAAAAATTAAACTAAACTTTCTAAAAATATTTTCAGTCGCAATTGGAAATTTTCCTTTCACCTGATTGACAGTAGCTGACTGTTGCAGATTTTTATGCAAATTCATATTTTTCATAAATATAATAAAAAACATGGAACCCACAATACGTATAATTATTTTATTTAATAAAATAGTGAGTATTATATTTTAGGTTTATTTCCGTTAGGTATTTTTTGTTTGTTAAATCCTTCTATATTTTGCTTGTGAAGTGTTCTCTGTATTCTGCTTATTAGATGCTTTGTGTATTTTCGCTTATCAGGTGCTTTTGCAACTTTCAAATTCTGCAGTCTACTTATTACAGTTTTTAGGAACTGTCATTTTATGCTGAAAAGATTTACAGAATTTCGTGGTAGATCGAGTGGATCGAAATACTTTCTAAAAGAGGACGTACAGCCGATATGTTTGCGATTAATCATTCGAACGTACACACATGATCTCTGGTAAAACCGTTATTTCAGTTTCACGGTTTTATAATTGTAACGATAACGTTCGTTTCGTAGCAGTTAAATTAGACACGTTAAAACGTTTAATTTTAGTGTATTCTTGTGTCTCCTGTACGTGTAACGTTTGATGCCTCTGCAAAAAGACAACCAACACCTACGAGGCACGTACATTGAGCTGCATTAAATACGTATACGCGGTGGCCTTGATTCCTAAAGCCGTGAAAAGATCCCGTCGTCGGGTCAATTAAACCAAGCCACGAAGTCAATGACTTTGGATGCACAGCCAATTTCTCTTCGGCAGCCTATATAATATAGCGCATCCCAAAAACCTTCGCGTTAAGAATAAACCCTGAGCAATCTTGTGCTCGTAATAATATACACATATAATCGGTTATTATTTTCGGTTCTTCTCGAACACTGATTATTCAAATGAAACTATGAAGCTTTAATAAAGCTTTGATAATGTACGACGCTTTTATTAATCCATTAACTCGTGTATTGATTTTCCGATGAATATACGTACTATATTTACTGAATGGTAGACCGGTTGAACGAAGAAATAAAAATCTCTTCGTTCTTCTGCTAATTAAAATTCTTCTATATTTGTCAATTTTTATACCGCGTTAGTGAAACATACAAAACGAATCACTTATATTTCATCACTGCGATTGCATTCGTAATTTAATTGTGTTTCGTTGCAGGAACGGGAATTTACAAAGATACGAAGCTGGAAAACGGAATTCCATTTATGGTCATTCTTATGTATGAGTGAAAATGATTATTCAGCCGGTGAGTAAGATTTCAGATTACTTGATATGTTTATTATTCGTCAAACCTACACGTCGATGAGATACGACGGGAAATTGAGCCACTCCCTTAACGAAGAAGGAACACCCAGTCTCGTATACGATTCCCAGGATTTCGATAATCTCTTTGATTTCCATTTCTTTTTCTCAACCTCAATCTCAAATTCACTTATATATGTTTTAAAGTAACCGAATTAAAATATTAGAATAAACTCCCTCAATTATCAATTGAATCAAAGTGAAATTGTTGTATACGTTACTAGTGACAATGAACGAAACTTAATTGGCCGGCACAGTGTAAAGAGATATCTGTATTGTTCCAAACGCATATGGTCTATACGTAGACCATAGAGTGTGGTCGAGACGATGAGTAATCATAAAGCCTTTCCCGCTGTTCTTCCTGATGGTTGAAAATCAAGGCTGTCCCTTGCCTAAATTGGACAGTAAGTTGTTGGGTTAGGTCGACACACACGTGATTCCTGCCGGTTGTCTCGTACGTGTCCCTAAGCAAGATTCACGTGACACACGTTCGTCGAACTATGACGAGAAGCAAGGGTGAATTTGCACGATGGCTCGTCACTTTCAATGCCACGTAGTAGCGCTACGGGGGTGTACCCCACCCGTTCGATGGTTCTCTGTATGGGGTGAGTCATGGTACTCCCTCCCGGTTTGGGCGTGGTGGCCACTGCAGACGTTCCTCATCGATCTCCCCACGGCCATGGAACACCATAGGGCTGAACCAGCTCGCCAAGGTAGTCTTTTTAATACCAAGGGGCCTCCTGGGCCCACCAGATGCATTCGATTATCGTCTTCGAAATACTTTCCATTCAAACCATTCAAGTTTATATGAATGAAAATTTTTTTGATTTCTGCCAACTGACGTCACTTGATCCTGTCTTCTAATATTGCGATTATCAAATGGAATTCCAGGTGGGATTATTTCCTTTTTCGTACAGATGCCACAATATCATTATGTTTGAAGGAATTTGAAATACATCATAGATAGCGGATTTCTATGCACTGATTGGAAATTTAAAGATACAAAAATATTTAATGATATCGAGCACAGTGGAGCAGATCTCTGTCCAGGTCTCACTTTTTAAATATTTTCACAGAAATATGAATTTGCAATCTAATTATACTAAAATATTGAATTTTTTTTTTTTTTTTTCAATCATATAAACACTCCTTGTATCGCAGGATATCGATTGTTCTACTATACCCTTCATACTTTCACAGAATTATATCTATATAGTTATTTTATTTTACTCATTAATACTGCCATAAATAATATAACATACAACTGTCAATATACACTTTACTTTACAAAGCTTTCATATTTATCTATTAATTTTTTTCACGACTTTTTCATGAAATTTGGATATTTATTTGTCACTTTTTGAAACAGGCCTGATACAGCAGTCTTAAATAGCATTTTCCGTGGAGATGCTTATATGGGAGTGACGTGCACGTTTAATCACATGTCCAGATGGAATTTTACGTTGTAATAAATAAAGCACCGTTTGGTATCAAGGAAGCGAAAGCTGCATTGTAATCGTTGCGATATCGCACAGTGTATTGTTATCTGTTTGTTCGAGGTAATCTCGAATAAATCACATATGTTTCCTTATATGGTCATGGTTGATACACCTTCGATACTTCTCATTGTAATTTTTCTAATCGGAATGGAAACGTTTAAACGTTATCTGTGCCTTTGGCCGAGACAAGGTAACTTAACTTAACACAGAAAAGGTTTCTACAATGCATTGTTCTCGACAATTAGTTCGGCAGTGTGACGTTATCTTGCCAACGATAAAATTATACTATTATATGAAATGGAGCTACTGAAAACGTCCTTACGTAAGACCGTGTGTCGCGAAATATTCCACTGACTTGCCAGTAACTCCTCGCGAATTTTTGCAGAGAATCTTTTTCTCCTAAAAGTTTGCTTTTTTTTTTTCTTTTCGAAGGTTGTTGAAAAAAGAACAATAAATTCCAGAGGCGTCTCTCCTACGAAGATTCAACCACACGTGGCGCGGTAACTCCAAAAGCAACTGCCACAATGTAAACGAACCGATATTCAAACGCAAACGTGGAAGTTGAAACGCAAGTTGCGACAGTCATCGTCGTGGAAGGCGCATGCCACTATCCAAGAAGTTTCCTAGAACTCTCTTTCAAACGCATGCAGACACACACAGGTTAAAATGCCCTCCAACTGAAAGCTAGACGATGATCTATCGGCCGAAGCTCGTATGGAATTTCTGCTTTCCTCAAGTGACAAATTGTCTCTTCCACGATTTCATCCTGCTGGCATTCTTTCCTTTCTCTTGTCGTTCGCAGTTATATAAATTTAGTTTCGTTACTTCATCTTTGATCCTCTGTAGAGTTTCTGATTCTTCCTTCATTCGCGGAACCGAAGTTTCATGAATTTTATTAATCAGAAATATTATCAGAATTATCAGAAGTTAAATCGCTTTTTTCCAATGATAATACGAATAACCATGGTATATGACACATGATCGTATAATTTTTTTAAATGCTGTTTGACCATTTTATAAGATAATTAAATCGCAACTCTGTTATCCAACACTTGGCCAAATTCATTATCTAAAATCTGCTATTTCAGTGTTAATCTATTATTATAAATATCAACTAGTAATCTCAAATAATAATGATAGGTTGATCTCACATTATTAATATTAATTTGTTAAATCAATCTGTTATTTTAATTATCTGAATGTATGTTGTTATCTAACTTGATAGAATCTGAAAGTTATCGATTCAGATGTTGCAAAGAAATTTATTTATTCATTTTTAAATTCATTTCTTTCAATCCTATTAACATTTTCTTTTAATATGTCTTAAGAAAATGAAAAATGATTTGCCAGCATTCAGAAGAAAGTTGCATCTGCGTACGCCGGTGATTTTTATATGATAAATGATTTAAAAAACTTTGTAAAGAATCAAGGTATTCCAGCGTCGGTATATATAACGGGTCGACAGGTGTCGTGATGAAAGCAGGTTTTCTTCTACCGATTCCCCCGTGGTCCTCCTTTAAAATCAGTACCGTACTTATGACTCATCGATACATTGTAAATTTTTGTTCAGTCGATCTCTGGAAAATTGGTTGGAAATCAACTGCCCATGATCATTTTCAAATTAACCAAATTCTAAATGGATCTCTTTTCCTTTCAGAGATTTCAAATCAAAAAAGAAAATCGACGCACTGAGAGATGAACTAAACTTTGACTCTATAAATAAATAAATGTAATAGTTATTTATACTAAACGTATACATCTACATAACACATACATAATAATAATAATAATAATATATCGACATTATCAAATTAACAGGTAAAGACAAATTATATAAAAAACTTTTAAATTAGAGCAAGAATTAAATTCCAGTATTTTCTTGGAAACAATTCGACTCTAAAATGAATCATTGAGGACGGTGCAGGTGTTTCTATCAGTACCTAAAAATTTATATGACTCTCTGTCATCTTATTATGTTATTTCCCACCGCAAAGGGAAACTAAATATGAAAATTAAATTTAATGTAAACTTTATTTATTAAATTAATAAATAAAAGTTGAAAGTGACTAATAGTCACATGTCTTCTTGCAAGAAGTGTACAAAAATGTCCAGCTATAAATAGGAAAAAGCAGAGAAGCTACAGAATAGGAAGATATCCTGTTTCAAAAGATAAAGAAGCAACGTGCAAATATAGTGATAGATTCACTATATCAGATAGTCGATCATCAATGTTCCCATTGTAATGTCAGTCGGGGGAACGGGAGTTCTAGGATACGTTCCTGAATACTGTCCCTCAAGACCCGTTTCCGTGCTCCCTCGATGTAGCCCCAAGCAACACACGGGGTCCCATTCCGCGCAGAAGTGCAATGTACTCGATAATCCGTGCGCCGGAGATGTACGCATATTTCACGAACGTAGAAAACGCGGGCGAGAATAACAACGCGAGCAGAGAGCGGGGAATTATAATTTTTATTGGACTGTACATCCGGAATTACAATTACTCAAGTGTGAATACGTGACGAAACGTAACTGTGGCCCCTGAATATTTGAGCATTTCCGGCTGAGAAGTATTCAGAGGAAATGACGACCGTAAATAATGCTGAACAAGATAATTAAAGAAGCAACATTTCGTTTGTATAACATTGTCCTCCTTTAAATTGTAATCCTATCTAGCATTTTTTGTATAGTGGGAATATTTACAATTCTCTTTGCTCCTTTATCTTTTTAGGTATGTCTCCACCTAGAAGTAATTGTCTGAAAGCTGAATATCACAGATTAAACGAAGAGAGACGAGAACAGTGTAAGAAAATAAGAGAACTTCAGATGATTCGAGATTTATGTAATAGATAGGATATTTTAATCAATGGAAGCAGAGTAACGATCTTGTTTCTACTGAACGTTCGAGTTATGCAGAACATAATGGAATTTTTAAAGTATCGATTAACCACATGTTTATTCTAATTTTCGCAACTTGTAACATTGATGTTTCAAGTGTAAGTCGCATTATTGCAATTACACGCGAAAACAAGAATGAGAATAACGATAACAATTATAAGAAAGCATTATTATCATTGTGACATCACATTGTATAAATATCGATGACCTCGATTTGAATATTATTCCAATGATGAAATACTATGAGAGTCGTACGTTATCGGAATATATTATCACGCGTACACAAACAATGGATTGCACGTAGAAAAATAATTTTACGAAGTGGTTATAATCGGATTATTATAGCTGTTCTGATGGTACAATTAAGAGCATGAATTCTGTTACGTATGTGATTGTACCGGATTGCACAACAAGTGCATTAGTTGCATTTATGAATATGAAACAAATATCTTTTCCACTGTACAAGAATCAGTTTCTATTCTTTGAAAACTGTGTAAAATTTTATGTTAGCGTGTAAAAATTTCCAATCACGATAGATCTTTCTATAAACTTTATAGAATTAATGTTTTAAAGGATTTCACTATTATTATTTTAATACTATTTCAATATATTACTTTTATCATTTTGTCTCACTTTCTGTACATGTAAATAAAATATATAGAATTTGTCACAGAAGAATTTTTCTTTATAAAATTATTACATTATATTATATATTATGTTTTATATAACATAACTAAACATTTTGAAAACTTTATTAACATTATACTGATTGTCATAATTACATTAAAATTTAAAATCAATCAGAAAATACATAAACGAGTTACAAGATATTTCAGAGTCTATGTATCCTTAGATTTGTTTCAAATTTGGCCAGTACAATTCTGACATCGTGAAATATTCAAAATATTTTACACAATATATGCAATATATTCGCAAAATATCCCTCTAAGTATTCGAATACTGCACATTTCATTTCGCGTGTGTATTTAGAACTAAAAAAGGAAAAGAAATTGTTAATTACTGTAAAGATTATTTTTCTTCGACACGTTAATATCTTTTTTTCTCGAGGCTGCGTTCAAGCTTGAAAGCTGTGAGAAACGAATCTGGTTGAACGCGGTGTCATTACATAAATTGCAAGCGATTAATTATGATATACGCATGTCCGCCCTTCTCACATCGTGAATCCGGCGAGTAAATTCCCAGGCGATTTTTTTTTCTTTTTTTCATAGCTTCTCTTCCAAGGACTCCTTTCGTGTGACCTCTAAATGAACTTGAACTTGAAAAAATGTGAAGCGGTACGTAAACGTATCGTATACACAGCTACATCCGGACTTATAAACGCGAAGTTTATTTATTAATTAATTGCAAGTTTGATCGAGAAACTACGTATATCGACGGTCTGTTTAAAACTCTCAGCGGTGTTGAATGAAATTGAGATAAAATTTTAGGACCTAACCTAAACGTAAAACCTAACCTATTTTTTTTTTTTTTTTTCGTGGAGGAAATTTTCGATAAGACACCTGAGTCTTTTAAGGGAAGATAGGTAGTGTCGGATTTTTACCGACTAAAACCTCCTCCACGATGGCCGTCCTCCACACGTTGGGAGACCTTTTATACACCTTTTATACTCTCCTCGTGCTGTTGTGCTAAAGGACAATATCTTTTTTTTCCCGCCCGAATAGGGGTTCGAACCCTGGACCCTCAGATTAAGAGTCTGATCTGCTCTACCGACTGAGCTATCTCCATCTCTCAAACGTAAACTTAACCTAAATCTAACCTAAACTTTTTTCCCCTTTCTCAGGAAGCACTTATTAGAGCGCAGTACGAATAAAATATGCAAAAAGACGTCAGAATTGCTATTTACAACGAATTATAATTAACACACGATGACGTTAAATATATGTAATTGAAGCGTGAATGTAAATGAAAATCACGATACGAAAATTCAATCACGTGACCTAATCGTATCGCCTTGTTACTTTCCTTTAGATACAAATTTTACAGTTTTAGTTACTTTCCTGTATGTATAAATCCATTGTTGTATATCAACATTATTCGTGCTTTTTAACACATAATGCAGGACACTTTTACCTTGGTACTTCTACCCTACAGTGATCTTTACATCGATCCCTTTAGGTTCATTTATACCTGACAGTAATTAATAATTTCTCGAGACAAATCATTTTCGAGTCAAGTTCATATGCAGATATATGGAATTAACATAATATCGGCAGCAATATATTCTGGAAGAATCAAAGATTATTTTTATTTCACCAATTTCTATTACACTTTGAACTTCGTGTTCCTCGATACAAATCATTTTCAAGGTCGTTTGTAAAATCTACATAGCAGGGATTTCTCAATTTTAATCGCCATTTTTTATCCCATCTCTATTCTACTTTGAACTTCCTGCTAAAAATCACGAGAGAATAATGTATGTGTGTGTTGAACACCGAAGGTACTCGAAGAGTAAACAAATTGAAAAACTACATTCAAGGTACGTCTAGGAATAACTACTTAACGCAACACACGACACAGTACAATTTATTCAGGCATGGAAGTTATTGATAATTATTCGACGTTGCGTGATAATTATGCAGTTTCTACCCTTCGTCACGGTGAACGATTCCGAGTATACATACAGTGTATATATGCGAACGTACACGATAAGTATATCGACCCCTGCATCTGCTGCGCTCAGTATGTGGGACGAGCCATCGACAAAGACGGTATTATGGATCGTATATCGAACTTCGTTTCTATTCTCGCACCATACACTTTACAAATTATCACCTACCCTATCCACCCCGTATAATGATCAATTACAAAGACCTCTCGTTATGAGTCATGCAACATTCAGAATCAATGAAGTAATTCCGATGGATATTTATATATTAAAAATTTGAATGTTGTTTCAATTACTTGCCACTATTTATTATAACAGTTAACGATGTTGTAGTATTATTTATTTCTTAACACTAACGTACCGGCATTTTACATATACCTATCTTACCATGAGGGGTCAAATGATCCCTCGCGGTACAGTAAGGTA